AATTTTTTAGGGGAATGTCGTTTCTAGCGGCAGAAAGTCCTGGAAGTAGAGACTCCAAGCTTTAATTTAAAAAAAGAATGTTATCCTACGAAAATTTTTCGCAAAGTTATAGTTAGTGAAAGTTGGCTAATTTTTGCTCACAATTTTTTTATGCCATAATCTTTTTGAGCACAGTAAATATTTACACATATACACTTCCAGTAAAAAGATTTGGAAATTGGCTTTGGATATATTTTTGAAGTTTTGAATACATTTCGATTTTTTGTTTTTGTCGAAAAATTATGTATCTCGGTGAAAAAAAATCATAAAGAAGTTTTTGACCACGCATTTTAAAGCTCGAAGATAAGGCTTTAAATATGAGAGTAAGTTTTTTTCCGTGATATTTGTTCCCAAATTACATAAAATTGCAAATTGTTATTTTTGCAATATTTTTGTTTCTTCGAAGGGGCTCTAGTTAAATGAATTGTCATTGGACAAAATTTAAAGTAGGTTTTTTAAGCTTTAAAATGCTATTTAGAAAAATTGGTACAATGATTTTTTGCAAAGATATCGAATTATTTTATTGTATAAATTTTATTGTGTAAACTTACTTTTTCTAAAAGAAACGAAAATGAAAAAATGTTAATTATAATGTGCTCGGTTTATATAAATTTTTTCAAAATTTTTAAATAACTTTGTCCAACTGTCGATCTTAAAAAAAAGTTTCTGTACATAATAAAATTTTACATAATAAAAAAGCTCGACATCTTTACATAAAATTAGAGTACCATTTTTTTTCTAAACGCATTTTAAAACTTAAGAAGCCTACTTTAAAATATTTTTATATCAAATTTTATTCAATCATGTTTCATCAAACTGCATGTTTCATTCACTGCAGCGCTTCAAAGTAAAGCAATATGTTGTAAAAAAATATCAATCTTCAATTTCGTATAATTTAGAAACAACATATCGTAGAAAAAATTCAAACGCAGCATTTAAAGCCCTAAGTTTGCGTTTTAAAATGAGTAGTCGAAAACTTCTCTATAGGAATTTTTTTATCGGGATAATTAATTTTTTGTAAAATGCAAAGAACAAAAATGTTTCCAAACTTTTGGCCGCCGGGGGGGAGCGTATATTCAAAATTCTGTACGTATGTGGATTTACCTTAGTACTAACATTCTCGCAGATATAATTTAAGCAAAAAATTCTAATTCCATAATATAACAGCCAAATATTAAGATTAATCCAATCGGTTAGTGATATGAAGTCACCGTCTACTGTTATACGTATAAACATATAACGAAGATCTCTTGTCATACATGCCAAATAAGCTATTGTTAATATAGTTATCTGTATATCAAATATTGCGTTTAATTCGCGAGCAAGTTGGCATAATTCCAAATGGAGATGTCTACATAAAAATGTCAAAATGTATAAATTGTTAATAAGAGCACAAAAAAAATAATTAGAAAAGATAATATCTAAATGGGTTATATTAACTAATTAAGTCTCAAATTTCTGTGAAATTTTAAACTCAATCCCTCATAGCACAGATTTTCAAGGGACGTCTTAAAAATGTCGAGAGGACAATACCCAGGGTAAGTACGCCATCAATGGACCCCTAAGCTAATTATTTATAATAAATCTATTTTTACGCCAAAAATAAATTGTACAATGCATATATTTTCGAAAACCTTTAACTTTCAGGATATTATTTTTGAAAAAAAAATGTTTTCATCTCGTGAGACTGGAATGAGAATTTATTATTACTTTATTTTTTGCGATTATTGGATTACGTTGCCATGGATGCATGGACCAATGGTTATCCACCTGAAGATCGAACATTAAACAATTACACATGACATAATTTATATTATACAGGGTGCTTTCGGAAACGTTACCAGAATGCCCCCGTGTAACATCTTATCTTTGTTGAACATTGGATGAACAACAAAAAAACGATACACGAAGGCACTCGACTTTCTGAACGGAGCCTATAATACTGTGCCTAAATATAAATAGTTGCCGAAAGTAAAGTATATTCCATTTTAAAGCGTATATCTTCAACTTCAATGGACTATAGAGATTAATAAAGTCTATTTTCATTAATGATTCAATAGTTTCAATAATTTTCGAAAATCGTGGAAAATAAGATCGAAATGCAAAAAAATTTTGCGAAATTGCAGCGTCTTCGCTGCGTTTATGTGTGAGTAATTAATGTAGCGGCTGTTTCTTTACCAGTTTATAATTTCTCCACAATAGATAACGCGACATCACGTATAATAACAAAAATATTTAATTAGTCCATCCGTGCCATACGGTCCATCGATGGCATACTTATCTCATACCCTCTGAATGTCTTTTAAGGACGTTCCCAGAATGTCTTTCTGATAAAGTATGCAGTATGATGCATTTTTATACAAACACACAAAATGCTAGATCAGACCAAAATCTGTATCTAATAATACTAATAATAGTCTATCCAATGATGTCACCAAGTACATCTGTGTACTGATTTACATTATGATCCAAAATATGCGTTTGTAATTATTAATACACATGATATATCGATGAGTAGGCACTGTTATTTTTCTCCGTATGTATTTTATACCATGTTCCTCTCTCAACAACAAGTATCTCATATGTTCATTTAATTTATCAAATCTGGTACCAATGTACCTGCAAAGGAAAGATTTTACAATTTTAAAATTTATAGAGAATAAGATACATATAACATTAAAAGTATAATATATAAATTTGTTACGTATATCTAGCCTTTAAACAAGAATAATTAATTTAAATTTATAAAAACATTTTATTAAATTTTGTATCAGCTTCAAAATTATATAAGGATTACATCTGCCATTAAATTGCTTTTATTAAAAAATATTACTTTCCAAAAAAATATTTTTTACGGTAATAACTTGTTTTTAAAACAGATATTGATTAACAAGTACTATATACAGATATTGATTAACAAGTAGTATATACAGATATTGATCAATAAGTAGTATATTAATGTAGTATATATAAGCATTTTAAATAATATACAAACCACAAACAAGTTGTAAATACTAAATCCACAGACAAGTTGGCATTTTGAATATGATTCGTAATAAAAGGCGTGATCATGCACCATTCATTCCCTGCATAGTAACAAAACCATGACATGTCACTTATATTTGCCATTTGAGTAAACACTAGCCATCCAATTAATGTTATTTTTATACGTATATGTAACTTTCGATATATTTTAAGAGTGCCTAACTCTTCTAACGTATCATCTACAGCAGCAAGCCTCTTTAAGAATTTTCGCAGTCTCTGATTAATATTAGACAGGAATATACAATTTACTTATTTATTGTAAGTCGTATTTATGTAAAAATTATATTTATATATATACAATAACTATATTTTTATTATAAAGAATTACAATAGCTTAACCGACTTAAATAAGTTAATTTAAGCGTTGAATATATATGTACCTTATAATGACGTAAACTCATAATAATAGATGTAATAACGACAAGTAAGTTAATCCCATTACAGATTAAAGTAGAAGTTGTAAGAAACCATTGCTCTGCTTTAATAGCGAACACTGTATAATAAAAAAGATAACTGTAAGCGCACCACACTGTCACATTGTATAATGTACTTAAATAAGGTTTTAAAGTATAGACGCTTAGACCAAGAATATGACACATCAGGAACATAGGACGTATAGCTTGTTCTATGGAATTCATCATACTGTCATCATTGTTGTTCCTAATGTAAATTGACGTTGTAGGTCTATTGGACTTCATTTGGCCAACATATTACTAATTTATCGAGGCCACAGAATAATTTATACATCAATACATTAGCGTTATATCATATTGTACATCGTTGAATTTTTCTGTGAGCTTACTTGATGACAATTAATCTATGATGTCGCCTAATAATAATAACAAAATGTTACTGCAAATATTTCTAGCTTAGAGACATTCCTTGATTAAATAGCGATATACGAGTATGTATTTTTTAGTAATTGAAGAATAATTTTTAAACTGACATATTTTTATAATCAATAATATTCTATGATTAATTGATACTCTAAATAAAAAAATTCGTTTTTATGTGTTACATAATTAACTAATCAGAAAATAATCAATGAATATTTAAATGGTTCAATTTTATATAAATGTCTATAGAATAATGAGATGAAAGTTGGTGTAAAGACAACACGTTTACTTATTTAAAAAAGTTACTTATTTAAAAAATTATCCATTTTGTATATATACATTTTTTAACAACTCTGTGTTTTCTTTAGAAAGCTCCAAAAAAATCAGAAAAGCGGTTTTTTAATATTATTAATATTAAACCTCAATAAACTTGACAACCTAATATGCTGGAATTTTTTGACTTGTAGCATCGTTTTCAACATATAAAAGTCTATAAGAAACATCTAGTCCAAAGTAATTTTTTACTAATGTAATACACATTTAATTCTTCATGGTCACACTTCTAAAAAGCCATACGATGGTTGTTCTGGGTTAAAACGACCCGATCCATCTTTAAAGTGTCAGCAAATCGACAGTATTAGTTGCAATGATTTAAAAACAATACAGTATATAATTTAATCCTTTAAGAAAATGGAACAGTGGCGTTCTTGTGAAAAATTTAATTTTTAAAAAAAATCATAAACATTTATTAGAATTTAGCGTGAAAGTTACATATACATCGTCTTTCACACTAAATTCTAATACATGTTTACGATTTTTTTAGTGTTAAAATTAAATTTTTCACAAAATGCTCGTTTGATCATTTTGACCCAGTGTGATCATGAAGGGTTAATAATTGATATACATATATATATATAATAAATTTAAATAAATGACAATATTTAGGTGACATACATAGATGAATTAAATAAATAAATAAAGTTAGCAATTATAAATAAATTTATTTCTATATTAATTAAATTCATAAATAAGCCACAATAATATATAATACGGAAGATATTATTATTATATATTTCTTTTTTATATAACAACATTTCTTTCAAAACATGTTTTGTTAATTTCATCAGACTTTGATATTCGAGACATAGGGGAAGTATTCATTTGCAATATAAAAATAATAACGGTAAGTACCCAGACAAAGAACTGAAAGAGAAAAGCATAATTATATAATAAGTATCGTTTCTTATTTAACTTTTCTCGTTTATTGATTTCAAATTATAGATTATTATTACACGGAGGGGGTGGCTTTGCTAAAATATTAAAAAATTTAACTATTATAAATACTGATTTGAAAATAATTGTTGAAATATCAAATTATTATGAGATCGCTCAAGTTGATTGATAGAATAACAAAATTTTTTACGGCATTGCTCATTTTGTCCGAATTTCTTACATTATTATTTTGATGGTGCGACAAAATTAATTTTATTTAATTAAATTATTGGTAAAAGTTTAAATTAGGGGACCTCAAATGATCTTGATGTTAATATATGTTGTCAAAGTCATGACCATTAATGACCTCTAACAGGTTTAGCCGCCGTTCGTTATTCATTAAAAGTTATTAACAAAAAAGTTTAAAAAATATAAGGTCTTATTATTTGTTATAATCTAAAATTTTTTAATCTAAACTTTTACCAAACTGTTTTATATCGAGCTAAATTTTTACATATTTTAGCAAAATTGTTTTTTTTCGTTACATTAAAATTCCTATATAGATGTAAATAATGTTAAAGCTCGTAAAAATTAACCTTATTAATGAATTTGTAGCCAAAATGGATCACGCCCATTCCGCGGAATTCCAATGGCCGAAGTGACATTTGTAAAAGAAACTGATAAATCTGTAATATAATATAATTTTTGTCTGTGAAGTACTATTTTACATAAAGATATTTAAAAATTATATACACTTAGAAAAGTATTAAAAAAATTATTTCACCTCTTTACGCATTTCCGTAAAACGTATGAGATCTGTTAATTTATGTGTCAAGATTTTAGTCTTTTGCGCCTGAAATAGTATAAAGTTAATTATATTATTTACGATTTTGACATTTATAATAATTGTATGATACATTTTCAATAATCACATAGACATCTATATAATTAAACAATCGTATAATTTTTATAAGGGAATAAGATTACTTAATCTTTTATTCTGAAACTGAAAAAAATATTATTTTTTCAGTATTCATTTTTTTATTAGTTTTAATTCATATTTGCTAAAGAAGTTTTAATGTTCTCTTGAAGAGAAGAGAGAGAGAGAGAGAAAGAAAGAAATTATATTAAAACTTCTACTTGTAAGAACATTTTCCTTTTATAATGTGGAAATCAGATTACCTTAGCACTAACATATTCGCAAATGTGATTCAGTAATATAAATTTTGCTAAAAATACCATGCACCACGTGTCGTTGGAAAGAATAAGTTTCAGTATAGCTGAATTGTTTGCATATATATGTGTTAGACACAGTATCATATGGTATTGAACAAAACATGTTCCGACCAAAATGATGAAGCAAGATATTATCTGCAATGTTATTTGCATTCCGAATAAATCGTTTATATCACGAGCTACTCGACAGAGTTCCAAATGAAGGTGCCTAGAACGATATTATTTAATAAATAAATATATCTACTACCTGCTTTTATTATTTCTATGTACTGCATTCTATATTACTAGAGGAGAAGGTGGTATTATGGCCAGTGTACATATTGTGGCTTCCCTTAATATCTTCGCTATTATATAGCGAATCCTAATGATTACTTACGGAATTATTAGTTCAGTAATTCGCCGTTACATCATGATGCTAATATTATCAATACTCAATAACCAGCATTTATTATAACGCATTTTTACTTTCAAGTAGTATATTTTGAAACGTTTCTGAGGTACACTTTAAGATTTAATTATACCTACTTCCTCATTTTACTTAAACTTGAGCGTATTATCATATGAATATATGTATTTTTGAGTGTGTTATTTGCTATTTAACATTTTATTTGACTGTATATATTTTGAGTTATGCAAATTTAAACAATAACATGACATTTTGCTAATGTAGCCCTCTATAGATATTGATTACTCACGGCCTCTTTTTTGAGGTTTTCATATCAAAATAATTATTTAATAATCGATTGTAGCTCTACTGTTAATCTATAGTTTATATTACGTGTATTATTTTTATAGTACTGAGATTTTTAGTACTGAGCAGCTTACATGCAGAAGTTATATGAACGTATATACATTCATTTGCATACATTTTAAAATGTTTTACTTTTTTGTTAATTTTGTAACCAAATACTGTTTTCTAAACAAAACTAATATTTTACGGCTATTTTTATGAAAGGCCACATAACCACTCACTTTTTTCTTCGAGTCATTATGTAATGTCGCCACGTTTTTATTAATAGTATCCTAAGTAATAAATAATTCGTAACTTTGAGTTTAGAATCGATTCAACAACATTTTAACGAATGTAATTGTCAAGTTTTAAATTTAAATATTGATTATTAACAAAGTTATTGTGTAAAATGTAACTGGGGTGCCATAATACCACCTTCTCCTCTAATCTCTACATTCTAAATGCGCGTGAAGAATTTGTCAAAATTCTGATTTGGAATGAATAGGTGGCCATTGTGATTTGATTTCTAATTCTAGATATATGAAAATTAAGAAAAATTATACAGTTATAAGTGGATACTAATTTGCATTAGCTTAATTAATTATAGAAGTTTTTATTTAGTTAGACTGGACAATAACGCATAAATAATAACAAATTTTCTTCGATTATTACTGCGAAAATATGTAATATGATGGATATGTAACATATTTGTATGTGTGTATAGATATTGTATATTGTAGAAATCATATTTTGTTATAAATGTGATTTGATAATGAAACTCTTCCAACAATAAATTTCTATAAAAGGATTTAAATTATATTCTCTTCTAATTTAGTACTCCTTTTTTTATTTGTATATAAATTGTTTTCGAAAGCGGATTTGAATAAAAAAATATATTTCGTTATAAAATAATATAAAATTAATGATTATTCGTACGTTACATAAAGTATAACTGACAAATTTAATAGATTATTATAGATAAATTGTCATTATGCCAAAATTGCAGTGTGTGATATTTCATATTATATTTAATAGAATATGAAAAATGGTGATACTTATATAATACGTTTAGCTTTTTTTATACTATAGATTTAATATTATAGATATTATAGATTTAATATAAACTTCCTCTCTTTATTAAACTTTATTTTCTCAATATTTTTGTGTCACTTTAGTATCTAACAATTTACATTATGGTCCATAATACATGCTTGCGGTTCTCTGCACTACGAACATAAAGGTGAATAATGAAAGACTTTTTCCACTTGCATCTCAACCCACACCCTTCTGTTTCTGATAGTTGTTCAATATAGCCATTTATTTTATCCAATCTGGTCCCAATATATCTGTGATTTTTTATTTAAAAATATTTAAAATGAATTCTGTAAATATTATTTTTCCGCACACAATAAAGTAAAATATGAGAAATTTCTCGAATTCTTTTTTCTACTTACAATTAGAATTTTATAAATTTATACATGAAGAGAATTTTTATTTAAAATTTACCCTGAAAATATGGTAATTGTGGTACAATACAATATTTTAAAGATTTTTACCATGCACTTCAGTAAAATTGATCCAACTTATTTTATACTTTATTATAGTTTTATTAATAAATGAGAGAGATTTACATTAAAATTCTTCGAAATGTTCCACGATTGTACCATACTTTCAGGGTAAATTCTAAGAAAAAATTCTCTCCTTGTATAAATAATAATCACAAACTCATGAATTTACATAATCGGAAAATTTTTATTTTTATAAATTAGCAAATGATTGATGACACATGTATGACATCGATACGAAACAATTTAATTAATTTCAAGATATACATATTTAACATAATGCATTTAACTTTTAAATCTGTCTAAATCTAATTATAACTAAAATTTAGAAAAATTCAAGAATTTTTGTAGATTTTAATTATATCCAAATTTAACCACATTTCAACAATACTGTTTATTAAGAAGCTATGCATATCTGGGTTATCTTCGTATCCAAATCAGAGCCAATAAGAGCAGTCTCCTGATGAAGTAAACTACAATGTTCATGAAATGTTGGCATTCTAATAATGGATCTCGATACGAAAAGAAACCGAATAAAACGCATGGCTACTGTATTAAAAATACTCGTAGAAGCTTCAAAAGTATTAATAGTGTTTATTACTAAGTAACTTTAATCAAATAATAACTTTTATCAAATATAATTTACAAACCTTAGAATAAACGTAAACATTATATCTCCGAGAGTATTGATGTGAAAAGGATATCCCACGATAAGACCAATAATCACGGCTTTTATAGTGTTATGCTTTTCTATATTCAAAATAGAATCGATAACAAATAATATAAGAATCATTATAAAATATATGATTAACATAGATTTCATCATGTTTTGGATTGTACGATATTCCTTAGGTGTTCCAAGCTTTTCCAGTGTATCATCTACGAGACCAAGTTTTTTTATACATATATAGATTTTCTGAAAATATTATTGACAAGAGTATATATTAATTAATCATATCGTTTTTAGAAGTATATACAAAAAACACGTGTGTATGTAACAATAATGCAATTATAACAATAAAGTAATAACTTTGACAAGTTCAAATCTAATTAAATAAGAGAACTTCTATTTATGGTCAATGCGAATCTTAATTCTTAAATATTTCTATGTAAATTTATATACATATCTTATTTCGCAAAGTGCACACCGAAATCTTTTCGTTTTGAATCGCATTCATTGAGCAGAACCAAAATAATAAAATTGCAAATTAGATTAAATACATTATTTCTTGATTCAGATTTTGGAAAACTTCTTCAAAAACTAATATTCCAAAATAAAATTCCTTTTCAAGGAACATAACTTTATGTGTACTTTATGTGAATGTAAAAGTAGATTGTTTTAGTTTAAATTTTAATTAAATTTGACTTTTCTAAATAAATAAAAATAAAAGTAATTTTAAAGTAGTAAGTAATATTATTGTGTATCTGTTTCATGTTAGATTAGAAGTTAAAGCAATTTAACATTTATAAATAAAAAATATACCTGGTGTTTGCGAACGGTGATGCTTACAGATGTTATTGTCACAAAAATATTTATATTTACCGACAAAAAAGTCAAATGGTTATTAAATATACGACTTGGTGAAAATTTGTGCATCATAAAATGAAACGCAAAGGCATAGAAACTCCACACAATTATTGTATAGAAAATACTCAAGCGAAATCTCCAATAATTGATAGGATATCTGATAATGAGATTTCCGAAACCAAGAACAAAAGCAACTAAGGCCAAAGGTCTAAAAGCTTTTTGTATAGTATCAACCATGATCGTAACTGTTGCAATTTGAAATACTAACTATTGGATGCCAAGTTGAGAGCCACGCAATGTACAAAAGGCGTATTCATCATGATTAATATGAAATAATATTTGATTATATCAGTTTATTACAACGTCGTTTAATGATTTAACGACATTGTAATGAGTTGATCTAATCAAATATCATCTCATATAATCGGTATGAATGCGCCTTTTGTATATTGCATGACTCTCAACTTGGCATTCAGCAGTTAGTATTTATAAAATACTTAAATAAGATTTCGAGTATAGACCGAGAACGTGATAAATCCAAAACAAAGAACGTATAGCTTGTTCTATGGAATTTACCATATTCATCATTATAGTTCCTATTGAAAACTGACATCGTATGTCTATTGGATTTCATTTAACTGATGTGCGGCTAGTTTATCGAGGCGGTAGAATAAATTTATAGTTTCATTCATTTACATTTCAGGCATTTTACAATTCTATATGTCATCTATTACTTGTCATAATATGTTATATAATATTATTTCTGTTATAAATTTGTGCAGAGGGGTATATAGGAATAAAATCCATTTGCACCATGAAAATAACAGCGGTGATCATCCATACGAAGAACTAAAAGAAAATCAAACAAAGATATTAGTGTTCAAAAAGTTTTGTAACATACTAAGTTTCTACGTAAAAACATTAATGATATTAACGTTACGAATAAAATCGTAGCCAAAATAAAACAGTCCCATTCCACTAAATTTCAACGGTCGCAGTGACATTTGTAAAACAAACTGGTAAATCTGTGTTATAAGATATATACAATTTTTACTTAAAGATTATTTAGAACCAAGAAATATTTGTATAGAAAATTTATTTTACCTCTTCGTGTACTTCGGCAAAAGAATTAAAATTTGTTAGTTTATGAATAACTTCCTTGGTTTTCTGCGCCTGAAATGATTAATCATATTATTTTACATTTATATATTTTTTGTGATAATTTTAATAATATTTATTATGTAATAGAAATTTTTGTTGTGATGTTGATAGTGATAATCAACCGAGGGTGATCCAAAAATATGAAACCTATTTTAAATAATTTGGTAAAAGTTTAGATTAGGAGACTCCGGTAACCTTAACCTTGACATATGTTATCATGGTTATGGCCTTGAGTGACCTATACTTTTCACACTAAGCAATGTCCACTCCACATTCACCCCTGCCAAAGAGCGTCCAACTTCCCAAAGCGAAGTTCATCCTATACTTTTCTCCTGCCTAGAAACATCCGACTTGTCATGTGAAACAAAATTCACCCACTACCCTCCTCTAAAAAGTCGTTATGCTACGTAAAAAAGAGGGATGGGGTAAACTTCGCTTTGCATGGAAAGTCAAACACTTTCAGACACGGAGGGGGAGGTGAAAGGTAAATGTTTTGCGTTAAAAGTCGTACACCCGTGTGCTCAAGGTGTGGGAGATGAACCTCACTTTGCGTGGAATGTCGGATGTTCGTAAGCAAGGAAGAGTAGAATCTCCTTCGAAAAGTCATTACGCAAGGAGGGGAGAGTTTAAGATAGTTGTTAACATTGTATGTAGCAAAAATAAGACGTTATTTTTTAATCTTTTTTTGTTAATAATTGTTTAATGAATAACGAGCGACTAATATTGGAGATTATTCAGGATCATAATCTTGACAACATATGTCAAGTCATTGGTGCGAGGTCTCCTAATTTGAGCTTTTACTAATACCTTATTTAAAATAAATAGATTATATATTTTTAGACATCACCCAATAGATTATGTCATTATATCGGAGTTACTCAAAGATTTCTATCAAGATTACTATTAAAAAAATATAAAAATTCGGAAAAAGCTTTATTATCGATAATTAGTTTAATTACCATTACTTTCAATAATAAATTTACGTTTTTACACAAAAGAGAAATTTTTTTTAACTTTATGTTTGAAATTTATCTTTCTGTGAAAGTTTGTTTTATTATTTGCAATTATTTATCTTTTAGGAAAATTTATGGTTGTTTACTATATGTTATGCAACATTTTTATTATAAGCATGATCGCATCTATTTTAATATTTTGAATTTACAATTCTGAATTATTACTAAAAATATTTACCTTAGTACTAACACTTTCGCACATATAATTCAATGATATGAGCTTAATTAAATAAAAGATAAACCACCAATAGCTAGAAATCACTATTTTTAGTGCTATATTATTTTCGTATATTTGTTTCCAACGCAATATTGAATAGTATTGAAAATGGAACATTCCAATTAAAATAATGAAATAAGATATCATCTGCAAAGTCATTTGCATTCCGAAGTAGCCATTTATGTCGCGAGCTGTTCGACAAAGTTCCGAATGGAGATGTCTAAAAAGATACAAAATAATAAACAAATATAATTATTAATAATATTATATATTTCTATTTATTAATCTTTTATTTCTAGAATACATTATAGGATAGATTTGCTGAAGACATACTGATAGCCTAAATCGTATGTCATTAAAACGTTTTATATTATTCCTCAATGTAAGCATGAACGTTTAGAGATAAAAATATGAAATAAATGAGAAATAAGTAATATATATATGTATAGACAAAAATTTAACAGGTTATATCTTGTTTTGTGCGTGCTAACAACTTTAAAAAATCAGGTACAACTCATGTTAATTTTTAATCAATTTATATAAATGTAACATGATGTAATCGTTTATTATGAATTTTTAGATAGGACGATTATTATATATAACCTATATATAAAAAAAGATTTATTGTAAAATATTTTACATTTTATTATATATATTATATATATAATATATATATTTCAATTTTTAAGTCGACATTTTTATAAGTTATTAAGTTTTAAACATCATACCATAAAGAAATGCAAGACTGATCATTGATAATAGTAAAATTAAAAATTGATATGTTTATAAATAATAATTGCAATAATAAATTCGAAAGTCAATTTTATTTTAGCGTCTTTACCTTTTCATTATTTATTATTATTAATTAAATACTTAATACTTTAATCCTTTTCTCATTAAAGTATTAAAAATAAGTATTAATTAATTATTAGGTATCAATTAAAATGATTCCTCTTATTAACCTTGTATTTTAAATGGTTTTTATATTATAAAATATTTTTTATATTTTTATTTATCTTTATACTTTAATTAATATTATAAACAAAAAATTTTTACATTGTAAATAAAAAAGTTGATAATAATTTACATTACGATCCATAATACACGCCTGCGATTCTTAGCATCTCGAATATTGTAGCTATTAACAATAAGAAACTTTTTCCTTTTGCATCTTAATCTGTAGTCTTCTATTTCTGATATTTGTACAATATGATCATTTATTTTATCCAGTCTAATACCGATATGTCTGGAATTTAAGAAATATTTATAAAAAACTTAATTAAATTCTTACATATGCATATAGCAAAGTAAAGACACGAAAGAATTTTTTTGCTTTATATATCTACAAAATTTTACAATTATAAATATATAAAGATATTATAAATTTTCGAGTTCGTGCACACGTATTAGTCTGAATAATTTGAATTTAATATATAATAGCAAATTGTTACTTATAGAACGGATTACTATTCTGCACTATGAAATAATATGATTGTATCGCAATAAGATTTACAAACCTTAAAAGTAGCACAAACATTATATCTGTGATGGTGTTAATATATATAAAATAATTCAAAACGTAATGAATAAGTATGGCTTTTATATCATTGAACCCTGTTATGAATAGTAAGGAATCGTAAATCCATGCCATACAACTTATTAGACACCACTTAATCAAAATCAGTCTTATGAAATTTTGCATTCTACGATATTCTTTTGATATTCCGAGTTCTTCCAATGTATTATCCACATGATTAAACTTTTGTATATACTCTTGATATTTCTGAAAATAACAGAATTTGTAAAACTTGTAAGTTTCTTTTATTAATAAATATAAATAAGATATATACATGGTAAACCTAGAATGCTTCTCAAAAAATTTCGAAAACTCACACCATGTCTGGAAGGCCCATTATAGTAAAAAAAAGTTTAAGTACCCTACGTTGAAAGTTGAAACATTTAGTACTTTTCAGAAAATGTGATATTTGAAATCCTTCAAGCATATAATTATTGAACAAAGTAAATGTGGCGTATTTTTATCATTCATTCTATACATTTTAAAATTATTTCTTTCATTGCAAATGTGTTTTTCAAGTAAATATATATACAACAATATTAAAGTATTATGTTACATTTATTGTAAATCAGTATTATTAAACATAAAACTACAATTATGCAGGGTGTATCTAAAAAAACGTACACTAATCTAGTGTATCTACTAATCTAGACAACATACGTCATTGAAATCTGTGAGTTCGCCCCTGATATGCATAATTACCATATAATTCAATAACATAAGGCTTTATTTTATTAAATTTCTAAATAAATAATAAAGATTCATGTTAGAAAGTAATATTCTCGCGGTGACATTGGACATTATTTGTTCTATTTTAAATATCACGCTAGTTTTAAAATAATAACATTTACAAATAAAATATATATAAAGTATATACCTTGTGTTTGCAGATAGAGATGGTTATGGATATCAATGCCACAAACAAATTTAATATTACTACAAGGGTATTTATTAAATTATTAAATACAGTTTTTATTGAAAACAGGTCTATTGTATAATATAATGCGTAAGTATAAACACTCCACACAGTAAATATATAAAAAAGACTCAAGCAATACTTCAGTTGGTTGGAAGAATATTTGAGAATCCCAAGACCCCAAAAAAAAGTAATTAAGAAAACAGGATTTAACGCTTTTTCTATGCTATCCTGCACTATCATGATGGTAACTTTCGCAATTTCATGTGCTAACTGTTAAAGTTTCCAAGTTGCAAAGTAGATATCTCTATCTGCAGACATTTGCGATATAATTAGATACATTTTTTTCCCATTATGATGATGAACATAACCACAATGAAAAAAAAATCTAATTATACCACAAATGTCTTTAAATAATTAAAAAGCACAGTTGAGATAATCGATTCATGTACGAAGTATTTGCACTTTCTTCTAAATTGCATTTTGCACATTTCTTGTATATTTGTTATACAATCCTGGGAAAAAAATGTTTCATACATAATTATATATAAAAAAAATATACATCGAAGGCATTAGGAGTGAGTGTTGGAAATCAATTGCACAAAACTTACAGAAATAACGTGCAAATTTTTTTAGAACGTTTCGGCACCGTTTTGAGCCATCTTCAACTCGAATTTAATAAAACAATAAATTAAAAAATTAAACCTAATGTCGTGGAAACGCATTTACCATCACATGGTTACAGCTGCGACGCAGTGAGAGTCTTCCTCCTAAAGCTTCGGACGAATAACAGTACTTAAGCGATATACATTTACATTCTGCGCTTAGTCCGCAATCTATACGATAGGTGTTTTTGTTTAACTTACAGGATGAACAAGGACACCTATTATATAGGCCGCGGCCTATATGCACAGTGTAAACATAAACATATACATGGATAAACTAAATAAATAAATATTTAATTAACAATTACACATACAATTTATTTCTATATTAATTAAATTCATAAATAATAAATAAGTTACAAAAATAATATGGAAGATGTTATAATTATATATTTCTTTTCTATACATGGTTCACTTCAAAGTGTGAAAAATTAATATTTCTTTCCAAACATGTTTCATTAATCCCATTAGATTTTAGTAATTCATACATAGGGGGAGTATCCATTTGTAATATAAAAATAATAACGCTAAGTACCCAGATAAAGAACTAGAAGGAAAAAGCACAATTATAAATACCGTTACTATAATTTTTCTCATTTATTAATTATAAATTATAGATTATTGTTACACGGAAAGGACGGCTTTTCTAAAGTACTAGAAAATTTAACTAGATACTAATCTGAAAATAATTTTGTTGAACTATCAAATAATTATGTAAAATGCTGAGCTGGTTGTTAGAACAACAATTTTTTTGCTGCATACCTGGGCCAGGAGTCGAATCAGGATCTCTAACATTCCGTACGAGCATTCTAGACCTTTAGACCACCAAGGCCTTAGCAATATTCTTCGCAATAACTAATATGTGTGTATAGAGAGTTACTTATCTCTGAAATTTTTATATTTGTGCGCAAAAGTGCTTATAGGCAATCGAACTGTATAGATAGGCAAATTTTTGTGCGCAAACAAATTGTCGGTAAAAGTGATGTAGACAAACGATGTTGTAGACAATCGATTTGTAGGCAAACAGGATCCTCCCATTATTTTGTATCAAGTTAAATTTTTAGATATTTCAACAAAATCGTTCTTTCCGTATAAACTTATATAGATGTAAATAATATTAAAGATTATAAAAATTAACCTTATTAATGAATTTGTAGCCAAAATGGATCACGCCCATTCCGCGGAATTCTAAGGGCCGAAGTGACATTTGTAAAAGAAATTGATAAATCTGTAATATAATATAATTCTTGTCTGAAGGTACAATAATATATAAAATTATTTAAAATTTATTTACATTTAGAAAAATATTAAAAAATTTATTTCACCTCTTTACGCGTTTCCGTAAAGCGTATGAGATCTGTTAATTTATGTGTCAAAGCTTTGGTTTTTTGCACCTGAAATGATATAAAGTTAATTATATTATTTATGATTTATGAATTTTTTAAATTCACTTAGAAATATTATTAGGCACTAAGATCCATGTATTTTGATGTAAAATTGATCTACATCAATTTTTGTATTTCTAATTTTTACCACAATAATTATTATGAAATATGAATGTCGTAATTTAATATAAGTTTATTACAGCTTTACAGCTAAATAGTTAATACTTAATAACATAAATTTAATATAGATACTTGTACATTGGAAAAAGATTTTATTTACCGCAGTGTGTGTGTAATATATATAAATCCAAAAAGAATAACTATAACAAATGTTCAAACTGCGCACCATTTGAACATTTGTTACAGTTATTCTTTTTGGATTTACATATTTCTTTTCAATTCTAGAATTGAAAAGAGATGAGAAATAAGGCGAACCTCGGTTAAGAAAACAATTAACCGTGAATTGTGGAATCAGGCATTATTATTCTAAACATTAAGGAGATGGAGAGGTAGAGAGAGAAAGAGAGAGAGAGAGAGAGAGAGAGAGAGAGAGAGTGAAGAAGAAAAGAGAAATATTATATCATAATTTCTACTTTTGTGAGAACATTTTCCTTTTATAATATATGGAAATCAGCTTACCTTGGCACAAACACTTTCGCAAATGTAATTCAGTGATATAAATTTTGTTAAAAATACCATGCACCACATGTCGGTGGAAAGAATAAGTTTTAGTGCAGATGAATCAGTCACATATACATGCGTTAGGCACAGTATCATATGGAATTGAACAAAAAATGTTGTAACCAAAATAATGAAGTAACCTATCATCTGCAATATAAATTGTGTCCCAAATAAATCATTCATATCACGAGCTATTCGACAGAGTTCCGAATGAAGGTGCCTAGAACGATATTATTTAATAAATATAAAATATTTTTATTATGAAATTATTATACAAAACAAGATCTGTCCCAAAAGTATCCCACCTCGCAGTCTATATCTTTGTCTCTTTTTGTCTTTCTCTCTCTCTCTCTCAGGGAGAGAGAGAGAGAGAGAGAGAGAAGGCCCAAGGATAAAGACATATACGCAGATGTTAGATACTTTTGGGACAGACCGATATATTACTATTCTATATTCTGTGTGTACAAAATTCTGAATTGGAATGAATCGGCGATCATTATGCTTTGATTTCTACTTCTAGGTCCATGAGAATAAAAATTCCTATGATAATAAAAATTACATAATTATAAATGGATACTAATTTATGTTAGCGTAATTATAGTTATAAAAGTTCTTATTTACTTAGACTGGGCAATGCAATTTCGCAGAAATAATAGCAAATTTTACTTTGATTATTACTGCAAAAATATGTAATTTATAAATAACATATTTGTATAGGTAATATATTGTATAATGGAATTCAAATTTTGTTAAAAATTTTTCAATAGTAAAAGTCTTTCAACAATAAAAATTCTACGAAAGAATTTAAATTATATAAGATTTTTTAATTTAGTGTTCCTTTTTTTTATTTATACACATAAATAATTTTCGAAGGTAGATTTGAATAAAAAATTTATTTTGTTTAAAATAATATAAAATTAATGTGTATTCATACAATATGTAAATTATAATTGAAAAATTTAATAGATTATTATAGATAAATACACAACTGCAATTAAATTAATGCTGTGTGTGACATGTCTCATTATATTAAACAGAATATGAAAAATGGCGATACTTATACGTTTAGCTAATATAATAACTTTCTTTTTTTAATGAAATGTCGTCTTCTCAATATTTCTGTGTCATTTTAGTATCTATCTATTTACATTATAATCCATAACACATGCTTGCGATTCTCTGCACTACGGACATAATGGCGAATAATGAGAGACTTTTTCCGTTTGCATCTCAGCCCATACTCTTCTGTATCTGATAGTTGTTCAATATAGCCATTGATTGTATCCACTCTGGTACCAATATATCTGTGATTTTTTGTTTAAAAAACTTGTTTTTAAAATAAAATCTATAAAAATTCAAGAATCAGCAATAGTTTACAAACCTTAGAACAAACGCAATCATTATATCTCCGAGAGTATTGATGTGAAAAGGATATCCCACGATAAGACCAATAATCACAGCTTTTATACTGTTATGCCTTTCTATATTCCAAATAGAATCGGTAGTAAATAATATGAGAATCATTATTAAATATATAATGAACATCAATCTTATCAATTTTTTAATTGTATGATATTCCTTAGGTGTTCCAAGTTTTTCCAATGTATCATCCACGAGACAAAGTTTTTTCAGACATATATGGATTTTCTAAAGATATTATTGACAAGAGAACATATAAATCGTATTCATTCTTATAATATACAAAAAACATATTACGTATGTACGTAATAATGCATTTAACAATAAAGCAATAACTTTGATAAGAACAAATCTAATTAAAAATACGAGAATTTCTATATTCAGTCAAAACAGATCTTATAGTCATAATATATCTCTCAAAAAATCATAATATATCTAGTACAAATGTCCACCTCAAACCAATACGCGCGTTAAACTGATTCACACAAAAATAACAATTGTATCGATCCGACGATTATACAAGGTGTAATTAAAATAAGGGAACAAACTTCAAGTTCCACCAAAATATGAAAAAAAGTTCATACGAAACATATGTTCGCAAATATCTCAGTAACAGTGAATTTGCGGATGAATATATGTTCATATAAATTTTTTTCATATTTCGGAAGTTCGGCCCCAAAGTTTTTTACCTTATATTAGTCACAGCCTGTATATTTAAAAGAAGCCTTTTGGTACTTCTTCTGGATTGCAATTGTCGAATATAATATAATCTTAAAAAATCAAGTTCCCATCAAAGCATTTATTCAAAAAATTTGATAAGTACTCACGTGCCTGAGTACTGTACAAAATTCTGGGTGCTGACATAAAGATTAATTAGATTTATTCTTATTGGTCCAAATTCATATCATATCGTTTAATAAAAATCTTGTTAAATCTTTTTATATTCTGATAGATTGAATACAAAATTTCTTAATTAACATTTTGTAAAACTTCTTCAAAAATTAATGTTTTAAAATAAAATTTTAAAAAACATAATACATGATTGTAAAAATAGATTTGTGTTTAAATTTTAATTACTTTTTTAAATAAATAAAAATAAAAGTAATTCCACAAAATGGAAAGTAATATTGAATAATATCTGTTTTGTGTTAGATTAGAAGTAAAACGATTTAATATTTAAAAATAAAAAAATATACCTTCTGTTTGCGGACGGTGATGGTTACAGATATTATCGTCACAAGAATATTTGTACTTATCGATATAAAAGTCAAAGGATTACTAAATATACGCATTGGCGAAAATTTGCTTATCATAACGTGAAATGCACAAGCATAGAAACTCCACACTATTATTATGTAGAAGACACTCAAGCGAAATTTCCAATAACTTAGGGGATATCTGAAATTTCCTAAACCAAGAATAAAAGCAACTAAAGCCAAAGGTCGAAAAGCGTTGTGTATAATATCAACCATGATCGCAACTGTTGCAATTTTAAATACTAACTATTGGATGCCAATTTGAAAGTCACGTAATATACCATACAAAAGGCATATTCATCACGATTCTATAAGATATATATTCATAACGATTATATAAGATAATATTTGATTGGATCAGCTCATTATAATGTCGTTAAATCATTAAACAATAGCATGCATATGTATATATATATATATATATGCGCATGCTATCGTTTAATGATTTAACGATATTGTAATGAGTTGATCTAATCAAATATTATCTTATATAATCGTGATGAATGTGCCTTTTGTATATTGCGTGACTACAAATTTTATTAAAATTAAAAAAATTACATACTTTTTTAACCACGAATTTTTTATTGGTTTTTTAATTTTCTTTTATAGCTTTTTTTAATATCTTGATAATCAAAATATTGTAACGATAAAATTCACTTAAAGAATTTAATAAATATTTTTTTATAATTTCGAAATGTTACCTTATTGTTAGACAAAATATATATCCATGTTTAATACAACATACATATGCCTAAAGCCAGAGACATATGATACATTTTTTTTCTGCTGAATTGCTTGTGTTTTAGTAAACTTAGAATTGTATCGTATAAAACGTAAATGTCATTTTATTGAACGTAAATTAGTAAAGTGAATCATAAAAGAAACGTTTGCTTCTTAAAATGCTTCTTTTATATTCCTTTCTTTGCATGTTTCCTAGAAGTTTTATTTATGGTTTTGTTAATCTCTTTATATTCGACTTATGCTACTTTTATTTTCGTCAGAAAATGATATATATCGCAAAAAAAAATAAGAATTATATAGTGTAATGAAGCAAAAAAATAAATTAAAAATATGTATATTGATAAAAGCTTCTTTATCATTATTTAATATTTTTTATTTGTTTGTTAAAAGTAAGAATTTTCTTCTCGGATTCATAGAATTTGTTTTTAGCTGATTTGATATAGAAATAAGCCACAAATATATGAATTATGAGTTTATACTTCTTTAATTAGCTAAACAGATCATGTTTTTATTAATATTAATAAGGTGCAAAGGTTAGTTTCTAAGAAATAAGGGGATGTCGCTTTAGGACCTATGTCAGTATCGGTGACCTTCCTCTACTATGGTAAGTATATTGTTTGATCTTTGTCCGGTAGACGGATTCACTTTACAAGATTTGAAAAAGCCATTAACAAAAAATGTAAGTAAATATATAATTAATGGTTGGATTATTCAACCCTTTGATCATTTTAATTATTGCAATAATCGCACTTGGTCGCTGGTAATTGTCACCCAATCACTTATTTAAAACACATATTTTTTATAACTTATCGACACTTCTATAAAGAAAATTTCACATTTTTTAAGAAAAATAGTTCTGATTATGATCTGGAAATGAAACATAATTAATTTTTGGAAATTATTATACCCAAGCAAGCGTCACTCAAATTGATTAAAATCTATAGCCAGTAATCAGAATTCTTGATTACTTTCACTTTCTGTCTAATTTCTAATTTGGTTTTTAATTGGATTGTTCATTAATGTTAATTTTAATAATTTTTTTGATGCAGATTTATAGCTCTCTCTTTTGCATTTATACTTGCAGTGAAATAATTAAATAATATAACGTATAGTGTATTAGCAAAAATTAAAAATTAAGTGTATTCAATTATATTTAGTATTAATGTCAAATATTTGATAATTTATATAAACATATAGTATATCTTTAATAAAATTAATTAATTAAAAAGGATAAGATCTCATAAATGCTGAATGAGTACAAAATTCATACAAAATTTAGTGTTGCATTAGGTATCGATGTTAAAAGTTGCGTTCACGAAATCTTTGTCGAATATGCTTTTTATTTAATTTCAGAATAGTTTCTGCTTAAATTCAATTTTTATTTTACTATATATGTATGTTACGTAAATTGAGTATTTAGCTAAAATGGTACCTTTTATCGCGCGATAAAGATATACACAAATATCTGTGCCTTGAGCAATCGCATTTTTAGTCGATAGACATTTTTTAATTATCAGATTATTTTTGCTCGCTGTTACTTATTATCGGAGAATTGTTTCCCGTTTCCTCTAAGAGTAGCTAATGCAATAAAAATATCAGCGT